GAAAAAATCCTGCATAGATACGGAGCATTGATGGAACAAAAGCACTTGAATAATATCATACATACACATTATAGTACAGCAGACAATCAGAAGTTAGTTTTTTGGATGATCTCCTTTACTTCGCCTCCAGTATGTCGCGCAGGAGCATCCAGCAAAAGTCCGCCATCATGCTGGGACTCCGCTTGCCTTCGTAGTTTCTTTCCATTTTAGTAATATCATGGTGGAATCTTTCTTCATGCTCATTACTTACTGCTTTGGGGTTGGCAGGAAAGAAATTGAGGAGGGAGTGGAGAAAGTGAATTTTGAGTGATATTCGTTATCCCATATTTTCATAATAATAACTGTAATCTGTTAGCCGTGTGTTACCAAGGAAGCCATGATAGACTGTCGGGAATCTTTTCCATGCTCTCAGTTGATTTAAGATACTCTATTTTTCAGCACTTTTCGGATCTCTGGTCCGACGAAGATGTCTTTCTTGAGCGTAGAAGAACTGAGACCTGGGAATAGAGTGCACAGGTTTCGGAAGGCAGCACCATTTTTTGTCCACGTCCTTCACATAGATTCCTCATTAGATCAACCTTGATGTGAAGAGGAGGAAGAAACACCTTGTTTATATGCACCAGAGGATTTTCTTTGACATTGTTTTCACCAGGTACGAAATCGCTTTTAGACTCCAAATCTTTTGTAGCTCTTGGAAACAGACCAACTGTCCCATAGACATAGAAACCAACAGTACTTCGTAAATCCCGCTTGCATACACATAAGGAGCCCAAATGACCTTGAGCCCCCCCCCCCCCCCGAATTCACTATTACTGCTTCTACTTGACAGATTCCAAAAAGACTTCTATATTTTCATACAATTCCTTCAGATGGACTGAGTGGGCAATGGAAATTCTGTGGTATTTATTCACACTGTTCGGAAGCACATCTTTCAGACATTGTTTGGGGGAGTTTATAAAAAGTGCCAAGGGATTGTGTGGGAATCAGTAGCACAAGCTGTTTTCAATGTCAAAGCAGGAGGCGAAGTCCTTGTTTGTGTCCTGAAACTGGTGATACTTACATCTAACTTGACCAGGTTCCATTGCATAAACCGCGATGCCATGAGCTCTGACAGCTGCTTAGATAGATACAAATCACGGACAAGATCACTTAGGTCTTCCACTTAATCTTAAATAAACAGAGACATTGTCTTTCGAAAGAGACCGATTTGACAGAATTTTCCTCTGAAGGCAATTCTTCATATGATGAAAGAATAAGATCTTTATGTGTTGGAGATATAGGGACAAGGAAAATCACGAGACTTGGGGAGCAGGTCTCATAGCTGAGCAAAAGCTGGGATATTTGATATATTTTCTTATAGAAGAAGCATTGAAACCATTTATATTACTTAGACAAAAACGACAATAATCGTCATGGCTTCTTGTTTTTTTAATGACCATCGTACGACAAAGTTGAAAACTACATTATTGCCATGAAACCATGCAGTTAGTCCAGTGTAACAAGGTTCACATAAGATTTGTCCTGATCTCCCATTTTACGGTCAAATTAATGAATGTAGGCAGCTCTCAGGAGGGAAGTAATTATCCAACGCACCGCATCTCATGACGGCTTTCCTTACTTCATTCTACAATTCACTCTCGTGTAGTCATGTGTGACGTCATGAGATGCGGTGCGATTTTCGCTTCTAGCGTCTTATATGCGCGTGTTTATCGTTGCTTAGTGATCAACTATGTAAACAATGACAGACTATCATCACTGTCGTGTCCGTATATTGTTTAATATGTTTGTGATTTACATCTTTGATAATGGCTTAAGTAAGCCGAAAGCTTAGATTATATTAAAAAATATGGATCAATATTGTGAATTTCTTTCTTCGTTTAATGATAATGTTATCAAACTTTACATAAAATAAATAGACAAACACTTGTCTATATTATTTAATGAAACGTGTATAAATATATATATATATATATATATATATATATATATATATATATATATATATATATATATATCAAAAACTAGAGATGATGATTAAAACGAATTTTGTATCTGAAATCAGAGCCCAAAAATTAGGTTAGAATAATTATATTTATGCTTGCTTCTATTTCTTTGTAAATTATTGTGAATTACGTCACTCTAGCATAAGCAGCCTGCTTGCTATTCAAACTGACTTACCAGATATCAAGCACTATTGGTAAAAATCTGGACATTTCAATGACAGTGAACAGTGATGCCACATCCCATTACTTTATCTACTGTTATCCAGTGACTTTTGGCACGTCAGTGTATAAATATGTTGTTATCAAGATACAAAATGAAATCGATCGAGCGATTGAACTATCGACATATATACCGGGCGATGAGAAATAAATAAATAAATAAATAAAGGAAGGAAGGAAGAAAGTAAAGAACGGCGTGAAGAGAGAAAACGTAAAAAAAAAAAAAAAAAAAAAAACAGGTGGTGAAAGAAAGAATAAGAGAAAGGAAATATGAAAGAAAGGAAAAGGCAGTAGAGAAAATGAGAGAAAAAGAAGCAGCGAAAAAAAAAAAAGAGAAAGAAAATGAGAGAGTAAATACGAAAGAGAGAAAAGGGCAATAGAGAAAGAAAGTAAGAAAGAAAGAAAGAAAGAAAGAAAGAAATGAGTTAGGAAATAAGAAAGCGAGAAAACCAAAGTGAGGCTGAGAAGAGAGAGAAATGAAAGAGAGAAAAAAAAAATCGACAGATGGAAAGAGAAAGAACGCATAAAAAAGACAGTAAATCAGAAAAAGGATATAAAAAAAGTAACGGAGTGCTGAAAAGAGAAAGTGAAGATGACAGGAAGAAAGAAAACGAGAGGTAGAAAAAAAAAAAAGAATGACGGAGAGATAGCAGAAAAGAAAAAAAAAAAAAAAGCGGAGAAAAGAGCGAAATGAAAGTAGAACGAATGATAAGAGAAAGAAAAAAAATAATTAAGGGATTGGTAAGTGAATGCTAATAATCCTCCAAATATCTATCATTAAAACTACATTAATAAATTGACACCATTTCTGCCACGATATTCCCATCAATCAAACAGTAACATCTTCCTCTCAGGTCTAACAACAACACAAAATCCTTCTTTCTTTCTTGTGTCCCGTAGTATTCCTATCACACAGTACACGTCATAATAATGCAACGTAACGACACTCCATCTATCATCTTATTAATTTGTATAGTAACATCTGCGACACGTTTTTCTTTTTCTCTTTGTTTATATATTCTTGTAGCATTGTTTTTTTTTTAATTCTTTTGCTTTTTCTCTAAAAGACAGCCCATATGGTACCAACAGGCTTCATGACGGCCAATGCTTGTCATATAAAAATATATTAACATGTATATACATACACACACACACACACACACACATATATATATATATATATATATATATATATATATATAGATAGATAGATAGATAGATAGATAGATAGGATAGATGTTGTGGTTGAGATATATATATACGTATGTGTAATGTTGAGGGAAGTAAGTGGTTAGGTTTAAATCAGTTGAACTTTTTTTCTCGGCTATTTGCAGTGAGCACATGTGCAAGAAATCTGACATTTACACTTACAAAACTGGGAAAGTCTTGTTTACGTTTTATTTATCAAAAATACATGCGATTGATAATCCGAAAAAAATTCTATAAGAAAAATGAAGAACATGTCGATTGATCTCGAAATGTCACCTACACACAAATGCATATATATATATATATATATATATATATATATATATATATATATATATATCTGTGTGTGTGTTTGTGTGTGTGTGTGTGTGTGTGTTCTTTCAATTTTGGATATTTAATACATTCTAAGAATTTATTTTCTATGGATAATTCGCACGTTCTATAGAGGTGGCGACGAGGAATGGGTCGAAAAAAAAACTTTTATTAATTACCATTATATTATAATTCGTTGCCATAGGAGTAAATATCTTTAATTCTGTCTTTCTCTCACACAACATCTCCACCCCTAAGATGCATATATATATATATATATATATATATATATATATAGATAGATAGATAGATAGATAGATAGATAGATAGATAGATAGATAGATAAAGTGAGAGAGAATAGAGAGAGGGAGTGAGAGAGGGGAGAGAGGAGAGAGAGATAGTAAGTGGGAAGAAAGAGAGAGGTTGCGTGACGGGGAGAGACGGGAAAGAGAGTTGAGAGAGTGATTCATAGATTCGTGCAAAATCCAAGCCTCGAGTTTCGACTGAGAAAAAAAAATCTTTACTTTGCCCTTAAATTGTCCATAAAAGTTGATTTTTTTTATCGATATATTCCTGTACAGCAGATGGAGATGCCGAATCTCTTCTTCCAAGAATATATGGTGTTTTCAGAAACAATCAATCAATATTTGATTTCAGGTACATGCATACATATATTCATACATACATACATACATTATCTTTCCCTCTAACTATCTATCTATCTATCTATCTATCTATCTATCTATCTATATATATATATATATACATCTTGGCATACGGACATCACATGGTTCTTAATAATGACTGATACTTTCGAAAATATTTGATCAAAAACAGCAGATCAAATACAAACTTCAGACAAATTCTTTCGCGATATAATTCAAAATTTTGAAAAATACAAGAAAAAATTTAAACTGGCAGAATATAATTAAATTTGTTCAGACCTGCTGTCTAAATATATACCCACACGATATACACACGCGCGTACGCACCCCCCCCCACATATATATATATATATATATATATATATATATATATATATATGACTACACTGATGCGACTACACATGCACTTGAACCAGAGACATTGTAAATTTAAAATTTTGAAATATTTTTGAAAAAAATTTTGTTACCAATGTCTTTTGGGCCATTTTTTTTTAATTTGTTTTGGGTTTTGTTTATTACTAATTATTATTATATGATAATTATTCCACTTAAAACACGTTTAAAGGCCTAACGCCAAATATGGTATGGCTACCGACCAAATCTCGTTGAAAACCCGGTTCCCAAGAGATCACCGAAGGTAAGCAACGTCGAGCCTGTTCAATACCTAGGTGGGTGACTGTTTGGGAAAACCAGATGCAGTACACTTGGATATGCGTCTGGTGGAATGGAAAATGGTTCGGCATTATTAATCGGAGAGTTGAGTTCCAGTTCTCGTTAGGTTCATTATATTCACTTACGTGCAAATGCTCATGGGAAAGGCATGAACCTACTTCTACCCTCAGCTATAGTATGACTTGTTTCACTAAACTATTATTATTAAAAAAAAAATATTCTTTAAATCTAAAAACAATTTCTGGCTGTAAATAACCTGAAAAGGATTTATAACCCGTAGAAAATGAATCAGTTGATCATGCATAATATAACAATTTTCCATATTTTAGATGTTACCAGTAGTGTTGGTTGTAGAAGCGTCAGCCTATTAGACTTTTGAACAACAGTGACGAACGCTCTCTGAAAGACCTCTGCTTGCGTTATACGCGTATTCTGTAGCCAAATCCGCATCCATACTTGATGATGTTTACTTAATTCGTGACAATATTCAATGTGTGCTTAGTTAGGTGATCAACGAAGTGTGTCTTTATTTCATCACATCTTCTTCGCGAATATGAATCTTTGATCTCGACACTCATTGTGTCCACGGCCTGTTGCTGAATGTATTTCAATATCTCTCGGCATATTTGTATCGGAAACACAAGGAGCAAAATGAGTTTGATTTTAACGACTGATGTTTGTGTTCACTTATCGCTTATGTCCCTCAGGAAACATGAACGAGACTCCCACAGTTTAGTCACATGCCTAGAGAATATATGACGTTTGCCGTAGAGATGATGTTAACTGATAAAAAATTATTTGAAAGCGAGTTCAATTCAGTGGTTGACCCACTGCGGCAGACGATGTTAAACTTTGTAAGCATTAACAAAAACATTACTGACTTTTACTAATCTTTCCATACCATAATGAAATAGATTCGTACGATCACCGAAGTTAAGCAACGTCGGGCCTGATCAGTACGTAAAGAGGTAACCGCTTGGGAATAGCAGATGCTATAAGTTTGAATGTGCGTGTGGTGTAATGGATAACGCCACAGAATTGGAAATCGGAGAGCCGAGTTCTAATTCCAATCGGTTTCGCTATATTCACTTACGAGTAAATACTCTTGGGAAAAGAATGAGCCCACATCTTCAAGCTCCCAGCTAATTAGTAGCATGTGTTTCATTACAAATCATTATTATTTCCAGAAACTTCTTATAATCTAAAAATATTTTCTGGCTTTAAATAACCTGTAAAAGGGTTGATAAACCGGCAAACAGAAACCAATCAACTATCCCGTTCGTCTTTGTTTTGCTGCCCATTTAAATATAGCCTTTAAGTAGGTTATCCGTTCTTTCTTCCTGCTTTTCTTTCAAATGTGCTATGAATGATAAATTCCCCAGACCCTCTTATAATATCAAAGGTGTCGAGAATAACTGATTTAGTTTCTCCCCCAATGTAAATTCCCCAGGCCTTCTTATAATATCATATAACAATTTTGTAAAAGGTTTTATGATAAGACTAAGACTGTTGAACAGCTATATCACATCTATCAGTCGTATCTGGTATTTAAGGCTTACGGCCATATCACGTTGAAACATTGGTTCCCGTACGATCACTGAAGTTAAGTCAACATCAATCCTGGTCAGTACCTAGATGGGTAACTGCTTGGGAATATCAGGTGCTGTAAGCTTGCATGTGTGGATGGTGTAATGGATAACGACTCGGAATTGTTAATCGGAGAGCTCAGTTTCAATTTCAGTTGGATTCACCTGGATTCGTTATATTCACTTAAGTGCAATTACCCTTGGGAAAGGTATAAACCCACTTCTACCCCCAGATATGGGTTGATTAGTAGGGTTGCTGGCATTCATTCAATATTATCACCAAAAAATTCTTGGAATCTAAAAAAAAAATTTTAGCCTTTAAATAACCTGCAAAAGGTTGATAATTCATAAAAAAAACAAATCAATATTCATAATCTAGTCAGATTTGGGGGATAAATTGCGGTGAGAACTATTGAGTCATATTAATTTTCTGATTGGAAAACGTTTGTCTGTATGAAACCAAATATTTGAAATCTTCGTTTTTTTTTTTTTTTTTTTTTTTCCGATGTTCGGTCGTCAATTACCAGAGCCTATGGAAAATACACATTTAACACAGTAACAATAATTGATTTAGCTTCTCCCCCAATGTAGGACAGAAGTATTTTAGAGCTCTTCAATGACCCCGAGAAGTAGTTACGGACAGTAAGTGCTTTAGTTCTTACAAGAAGTTTGGTAATGAGTAGACAGTTTCCATACAGATGAAGAATAAACTGGAAGTGACAGAGATGTGGTTCCAATGAAAATTCTAAGAATGCCATGGATAGAGGATACAATCATCGAGAAAATCGTAAGAAAATGGAATCAACAAAGAAACTTCCAATCCGAAAAAGATGAAAATTCTGGGTCGTATAATGAAAAAAGAAGGGCCCAAGAATTTAACACTGACGGATATAATGAAAGCAAAAGAAACCAGAGGAAAGAGCCAGCAACCTAGATAATCAGTTTGACAGAAAAGAGCTGATGATCGATGGCAAAGTGTAAAGAATAACTTAGAGCAGCAAAAGACGAGACGTTGTGGAGAGCCATGATTTAAAATGAGGAAGACTTGCAAGAAGAGAGTGATTGTTTGTGATAGGAAAATATGTTTATTATTTTTCAATTTCGGTATTATTAAATAACTTTTATATCTTATTTTTATGCCCTATCGGTGAGGCATAAAAATACGCCGACTGCGTTCCCGACAGAGTGATAGAGAATCGCCCGGAACGAGCCATCTTGCCAGGTGGATTCTTGCAGGCTTAAGACACCTAAAGCTTGCCGACTGATTCAAAAAATAATTCGACACTAAATAAACTAACGAGCGTTGATATCATCATATGATAATTGTTCATGCCCCCCCCCATCACAATTCGTTAGTTTGCACGACCATTACGTCCTGCCAATACTTCATAGATAATGTTTGATTGCGTGGAAAGACAAGACATATCAGTGACGCTACTTGATTTAAGTGAAAAAAAGAAAGACAGGAAGAAAGATAGCAGTGTTTTACGCTTCCGGATGCTACCACACAAATAATGGACTATTCCATTTTGATCGCGTGATAAGACAAAAAAGATAGACGCGAAATGGTTTCAGTCTAAAATGAAAGAAAGAAGAGAACATAGAAGCATTTAACGTCCGTTTTAAGTGAATTGGAAAATGTTGTCAGTTTTGTCGAAAATGAATTCGACTGAAAAGACCAGCGTGGAGACAGTTGATGAATGACCGGGGGTTGCAAAAGAAAACGCCCTTCTATTGCGATCCTCTCCCCTAGGGTCAGGTAGCCACAGTAATAACAGAGAGAAACAACAATAACAACAACTTGTTTCGCTGTCGGCCAAAAACTCTGAAGTATGAGGTGAACGGATTTTTATAACATACCTCTGCCCTCACCTTTTCCGCCAATCGAAATGGAAGGATACTAATGCAAAGGAAAAAATGAGACGTTTGCGCCTGAGGACTCCCCGGTCGACATCGTCGATTCAATCACGTAAGTCTACTTTTCATTATTTCCAACAATTTCAAATCTTTTTATTTGTATCTCCTTACTTCTTAAAATAACGACCTGCATTCATGTTTATGGTTTGTATTGCACTATTTTGTTAAAATTATGCTCAAATATTTAACGATGCGATAGGTTACTTTCTATGGATATTTTATTGTCGTAGAACTCGCCATGAGCTTAATCAATTATTAACTGAAGAGTTGAGATTCCTCTGAAATTTAGAATAAGAAAAACCCTGAAATTTTCACGGCTTAAAACTAGTTAACATTGTTTACATTCAAACTATTGTCCTCATCTTTGTTGTTATTATCACAAAGTTTCGTCCGTTGAGCCCTTCGGCCTTCAAGCCAAGGAATATTTCGTGTAGTTCTTTTTTTTAGTGCTGATCAATTATTATTCACCTTGTTTCCAACAAATGAAAATCTGCACTACCTGGCCGAAGTATTGAACTCACAATTACTCTGCCAACAAAATTCACGGGCCAACACTTTAATCTGCATGGTCAGCGGAATGAGAACAGTCTACGCCTGTAGACTAAATAACGGTTTCAATTCGAAATTCTCTGAAGGTTACCCGGATCAAAAACAACCTGATGATGGTCGGAGTGCACAACGGTCGAAACGTAGTGATAATAACAACAAAGATGAGGATAATAGTCCATGTGTTAATAATGTAAATAATAATTAATCTCAGAAATTTAAAGTTCGATATGTTGTAATGTCCACCAACTCAAAACACTCTCTCTCTTATTTCAGGCGAAACAATCAATGGGGATTGACCTTAACACAGCAGTTATTTTAGGGGGGAGTATAGGGTGGTCTGAAAGTGTTGTCACCCCAAAGAATATAGATTGTTAGAGTGACAAGACATTCGGACCAGCCTGCAGATAGCAACTCACTATTTTACAGAAATTCTCCCAAAGTATTGTCAAAGGTTAGATTAGTTTGACACAAGGGAATCAAGTTTAAGAGCAACCAAGTGGATCGATCTCAGTCCAGCAGTTATGAAAAATGGATTGCTATCCACTGCTCTCCAGAGAAGCAAGCAATGCATTGTATAATTTTAGTCTGGTACACGTCTTCAAGTAATCAGTGGAACTACCAAAGAATACTGGTGCATTAGACGTACGTTTGGTGAGTTGGAAGCACATTTAATGGGTCAGAAAAAAAAAACTAATGTCATAAGAGAGATTCAGAAAAAATGGGATGGCATCTACACATCAAATAACTTAATCACTAATTTTTGGAAAAAGGCATGAATCTATCTTCCCTCATCTATGAGTTAAATATCTAGACAGAATAAATTATCTGGTTGTGTGGAATAATGAAAACTCTGAATTGAAAACCTGAAGAGGGCTGTTTGGAGACTTCATGGCACAATTTGCCCCATTTTCGCCATTATTAGCCTTTCTGAATAGTCTTCACCGCTATAATCAAATTATCTGTGTAACTAATCAA